TTTTTCGCTTTCTTTTCGCTTCGTGGCCAGCGTTTGATAAGGTCCATATAAGCATTCAGATAAAGAAGGAATCGATGATGCAAATGCATTCAGAACCACTTTTTTTTTTGGTAGGCAGTGTTTTATCCCAGGTCTATTCAGGTCTAGTCACATCAGTTATTCACACTACCAATGGTGCAAATCTTTTTTTAAAAAATTGGGAGAAAACCCAATATTGATTATCTCAGATTAAGTGGTTTTTTGGCAGCCCCACAAACTTAATCTAGTGCATTTGGGATGTGTGTGAACAATGGAGATTTAACCTGGATTCATCCTGGATTATTTTCACAGTGTGAATAACTCCTGAGCATGTCAGTTGTGCTTTCTCTCACATTTGTGATATCTAAATCTCGAGCTCTGCTTTTCTGTTCATGACACAATTTGAGGATTTTGTTCAGCTTTTTTTTTTTAAAAAAAAACACCCCACAACAATTAATTCAATGAGTAGGAAAAATAATTCCTAAAAGGAAGAGGACTATGTGTAAACCTGTTGGTTGTGTGACTGTTAAAAATGAGGCACAGATGATTCTGGTGGAACCAGAGAAGGGATTATGCCTGATCCCCTCCTCATGCCCTATGTACCTCCAAATGCTTTGAGGAGGCTAGGAATAGATAGATAAACAGATTTCTAGTGTAGAAGACTATAATGGGATTGGGAGAGGAAGGAGATCACTTTCAACACTTGTTTTAGGTATGTCTTTCTCCATGGCAGGCAGTTGAACAGGATGGCCCTTGGAGTTCTTTCAGGCCCTGTGGTTCTACAGATCTGGCAAACATTTTTTGACTTTGCAAACCATCTGAAACAATGAAGAACTTATTTCCAGTTCCATCCCTTGTCATATGACAATAGGCAAAGTTTTGATGTGTCCCTGTCCCCACTTCACATATTGTTAGCAATTTGATTCAAATTAATCCAGTTCCTACTTAAAGTCAGCCCTCCTTATCCATGGATTTTTTTTTTATCCATGGATTCAAGCATCCATGGCTTGAAAATATTTTAAAAATATAGAAATTCCAAAAAGCAAAGCTTGATTTTGCCATTTTATATAAGGTATACCATTTTACGATGCCATTGTATTTCATGGGACTTCAGCATCCACGGTTTTATGATCCATGGGGGGGTCCTAGAACCAAACCCCAGCAGATACCAAGGACCCACTGTATATTTATTTGACTGGAAGGCTGAAGTTAATCTGCACTGCAGAAATAATGCTGTTTGACATCTCTTTAACTGCTACGAGTCAATATTATGGAATTCTGGGACTTGTACTTGTGTGAGATGTTTAGCCTTCTCTGTCAGAGAGCTCTGGTGCCACAACAAACTACAGATCCCAGAATTCCATAGCATTGAATCACTGCAGTTAAAGCACTGTCATTCAAAACAATAAGAGTTAAGTCAAGCAGTCTAAAAACAGATGAAAGAATTCCACACTGGCTGCATCCAAACTGTAGAAATAATCCAGTTTGGCACCACTTTAACTGGCATGGCTCAATGCTATGGAATTCTGGGAATCATTGTTGCTTGTGTCACCAGAGCTCTCTGACAGATAAGGCTAAACGTCTCACAAAACTACAATCCCCAGAATTCCATAGCATTGAACTATGGCAGTTAAAGTGGTGTCAAACTGGATTATTTTTGCAGTGTGCATGCAGCCAGTGTGAAGTTGTTGCACTTGCTTTTAGACTGCTTTGCTTATTCTTATTGTTTTGAATAGTTTGCAATGGTCTCACACTCCCCAGCTATCCCAATTTGGGAAGGAGAGTCCCAATTAATCCTATGTCAATCCACTACAAACTGACTTTAAAGTGCAAAAGCACTTTGCACTGAATTAGCCCAGCAGGGATGAGAGATGAGGAGGAGTGGAATCTCCCCCTTCCCAGCAGACTCAGGCAAAAGCAAACTGCTGCAGCATCTCCTAGCTTGTCTGTCCTTTCGCATTTGTACCTTTTGCCACCTTGACCACGCTCTCAAGTCTCTTGGCTACACGTGTCTTGGTTTTCATCTGTGAAATGTTGGAGGATATGTGATCCTATTGCTTGCCACCATGAGATCCCTGGATGCACGGCAGGCTATAAATATTTCGAAGTAAATCAATAAATCAATTTGTTGCCCCAAGCCGGCTTAATACTGCGGATCTGGTAACAGATCTGTTGGTGTTGCTCCCAATCTAGGTTTATCTGTTCTTTGAACGTCATGCGTGACGTGAAGGTGGTTCAGATGTAGCTGCCTCGCAAGTGGGTGTTTGTGTAAGGAAATCCATCCATCCTGGCTTTAAATCTCTGTTACTTAATTACCTCCATTTGCTGCAAATGCATGCATGATCAGTAGAGCAAGCATGCTTGTGTGTACCGTATTAATACATATGTATGTGGACTTTTACATATCAGTTCTGTGGGGCTCAGAACTTCAAAAGGAACCTGGATAATCACAGCAGAAGATATAAAAGATCAAACAGAATATCTTTTAAACAGATCTGAGAAGATTAATTTTCATCCAATGTTACTGCAGGAGATTTCCCTCCCCCCCCCTTGCATCCCCCCCAAACTTCCTTTAGTTGCTTTGATCTGTTTTGATGTCTTTTTCAGCTCATCTTTCAAATAAAAAAATCTGTTTAAAATCTTTTTCTTTTTCTTCTCTCTCTCTCTC